CTCTGTTTTGTTTTTGTTTATTCTTACTAAATCTCAAGTTTATCCTCTATTAATCCTCACTAAATAATTTCATAATTACAATATCTAAGATGTACAAAAATTTCTATGCCTGCTCCAAGATTTTTTTTTATTGTATTCTATGCTGATAGCTTGCTTTTATAACACTACTACTGATCTCAGGTATTAAGTTGTTAACAAAATATCCTCTATAGGGATATAATTAAGTAAAATAGGTGGCCCCAAAGTAGTATAAGCTGCATGATGTTGAAGAAATTACATTGGCTCGATAAGAGAGCCATTCATCTGGCTTTGCTACCACTTAACTCTGGCTCTGGTTAATCTTTTCTTCTTTCTAGTCCTGGTTTTCTTATCTGAGAAAAAAATCTTTTTTTTTTTTTTTTTTTTTTTTGAGACAGAGTCTCGCTGTGTCTCCCAGGCTGGAGTGCAGTGGCGTGATCTCGGCTCACTGCAAGCTCCGCCTCCCGGGTTCACGCCATTCTCCCGCCTCAGCCTCCCAAGTAGCTGAGACTACAGGCGCCCGCCACCACGCTCGGCTAGTTTTTTGTATTTTTAGTAGAGACGGGGTTTCACCATGTTAGCCAGGATAGTCTCGATCTCCTGACCTCGTGATCCACCCGCCTCGGCCTCCCAAAGTGCTGGGATTACAGGCTTGAGCCACCGCGCCCGGCCGAGAAAAAAATCTTTAATCTCTAAGGTCCTGTCCAGCTTTAGTGCTTAAAGATACTATATACTCTTGGTAAAGTGTCTTCAGAACTGTGTAATAGAGGTTGAAGGAGCACTATAATTGGTGATTAACATTCAGCCCCTTGTTACTTATGCAACTTTCTGCAGCGGGTTTGAATTTCTCCCCAGAAAATGGGTTATCTTCTATCACATCATCAGTCTGCAAATTTTTCAAGCTTTTTTTTGTTTTGTTTTTTGAAACGGAGTCTTGCTCTGTCGCCCAGGCTGGAGTGCAGTGGCATGATCTTGGCTCACTGCAACCTCTGCCACCTGGGTTCAAGCAATTCTCCTGTCTCAGCCTCCCAAGTAGCTGGGACTACAGGTGCACGCCACCATGCCTGGCTAATTTTTGTGTTTTTAGTAGGGAGGGGGTTTCACCATATTAGTCAAGCTGGTCCCAGACTCCTGACCTCAGGTGGTCCACCCACCTCAGCCTCCCAAAGTGCTGGGATTACAGGCGTGAGCCACGGCACCCGGCCGTTTTCCAAACTTTTATGCTCTGCTTCTTCTTGAACACTTTGCCACTTAGAAATTTCTTCCACCAGATACCTAAATCATCTCTCTCAAGCTCAAAGTTCCACAGAACTCTGTGGCAGGGGCAAAATGCCACCAGTCTCTTTGCTAAAACATAGCAAGAGCACCTTTGCTCCAGTTCCCAAGTTCCTCATCTCCATCTGAGACCACCTCAGCCTGGACCTTATTGTCCATATCGCTATCAGCATTTTGGTCAAAGCCATTCAACAAGTCTCTAGGAAGTTACAAACTTTTCCATATCTTCCTGTCTTCTGAGCCCTTCCAAACTTCCCCACATTTTCCTGTCTTCTTCCGGGTCCTTGAAACTGTTCCAACCTCTGCCTGTTACTCAGTTCCAAAGTTGCTTCCACATTTTCAGGTATCTTTACAGCAGTGCCCCACTACCTGGTACCAGTTTACTGTATTAGTCTGTTCTCACACTGCTAATAAAGACATAAATTACCCGAGACTGGGTAATTTATAAAGGAAAGAGTTTTAATGCACTCACAGTTCCACGTGGCTGGGGAGGCCTCACAATCATGGCGGAAGAATAAGGAAGAGCAAAAGGACATCTTACATGGTGGCAGGCAAGAGACCATTTGCAGGGGAACTCCCTTTATAAAACCATTAGATCTTGTGAGACTTGCTATCACCGGAACAGCACAGGAAAAACCTGCCTCCATGATTGAATTACTTCCCACTGGCTCCCCCCATGACATGTGGGAATTATGGGAGCTACAATTCAAGATGAGATTTAGGTGGGTGCACAGCCAAACCATATCAGTAAGCATGATTGATTAATTGGTCACTGGTAACTGACTCAATCTCCACTCCTCTGGTTACATGATGGAGCTGAAAATTCCAACCTTCTAATCAAGGATTGGTGTTTCTGGTGACTAGCTCCCACCCTAAAGCTATCTAGGGGCCAGCCAAGAGACACTTCCTTAGAACAAAAGATGCTTCTATCACTCTTATCACTCAGGAGATTCCAAGGGTTTTAGGAGCTCTGTGTCAGGAACTGGGGGAAAAGACCTGATCTTTCTTTTCTTTTCTTTTCTTTTCTTTTCTTTTCTTTTTCCTTTCCTTTCCTTTCCCCTTCCCCTTCCCCTTCCCCTTTCCCTTCCTTTCCTTTCCTTTCCTTTCCTCCCTCCTTCCTTCCTTTCTTTCTTTCTTTCTTTCTTTTCTTCTTTCTTTCTTTCTTTCTTTCTTTCTTTCTTTCTTTCTTTCTTTCTTTCTTTCTTTCTTTTCTTTCTTTCTTTCTTTCTTTCTTTCTTTCTTTCTTTCTTTCTTTCTTTCTTTCTTTCTTTCTTTCTTTCCTTCCTTCCTTCCTTCCTTCCTTCCTTCCTTCCTTCCTTCCTTCCTTCCTTCCTTTCCTTCCTTTCCCTCCTTCCTTTCCTTCCTTTCCTTCCTTCCTTCCTTTCTTATGATACCACAGCAAGAAATCCCACTCTTTGGTTAATAAGAGTTAAAAGTTAGTATCTGCTTGATAGAAAAAAAGCATAATACTCAATAGGTTGCATAAGACTTGGTGAGAAGAAAGAGGAAGAACAGCAAAAACATGGAAGCCAAAGACACTTGGATAAGTGTAAATGAATTCAGTACTCTAGATAATAAAGCACGTGATGAATTCAGTACTCTAGATAATAAAGCATGTGATGGGAGAAAAAGGGAGGTGCTAGATTAGAAAACTTGGTAGGCAAGAGCCAAGACCTTGGAGGCTTTTTATGCCTTGGTAAGAAATTTAAATTTAAATGTTAGCCTGTACTTAAGCTTTACATTGCATCAGAATAAGTTGAAAAATATGTAAAAATGCAGATTGACCCAGGAATATGCATGTTTAGAAGCATCCACAAGTAACCCTGACACAAGAAATACTGCTTTTGGCAGTGAGGAACGTAAAAGTTTTATGTAGAGATGTAAGGTTAGAGTTACAATTTAGAGTGGATTGTTTCAGTTGCCAAGTCCTAGAACTAACATAGGCTGAAACTGAGGCAATTGTGGTTGGGATAGACAGGATGAGATAGATTAGAGAAATATATAAAAAGTAAAGTGGTAGAGGCCCGATGATGGATTATGAGGTGAAATAAAGATAGAAGACTGGTTAACTCTTGAAGACTTTGAGCTTGGTTGGGCTGAGTAGATGGCAGATGATATTAACAAAAATACAAGAAGTAAAGCTTTGGTGGGAAGATGAGTTCAGTTGTGGACCAGCTGAGGTACGTAATCCTGTGGAATATGTTAGCAAACATGTTCCAATTAGGCAGTAAGATATCCAAGAAGACCAGTGATGAAAATATCCTAAAGTAATGTTTGTAGTCTCTTGAAGCTGTGAGAGAGATGACATCACCGAAGGAATGCCCATGGAGACAGATGCCAAGGACAGAACCCTGAAAGCCCCCATATGTAAGGGGTAAAAGTAGAAAAGGAGAATTTGACAGACTGAAAGGAGCAATCAGAAAGCAATTTGTGGAAGACCAGTAGAAAATAGTGTGCCAAAAGTTTTAGGAAAAAATCAATGGTCCAATTCTGTCAAATGCAACTGAGAAATTCGATAATACAAAGAAAAGTGTTATGAGTTGGTAGTGTGGAAGCCACCTGTGACTTTGGCTAGAGTAGTTTCAGTGGAGAGGTGGGACAGAGAAGCCTGATTGAGGTAGGTTGAAGAAAAATTGATCAAACAGAAATAGTGAATATAAGCCAGGTGTAGTGGCTCACACCTGTAATCCCAGCACTTTTGGAAACCAAGGCGGGAGGATTGCTTGAGCCCAGGAGTTCGAGACCAGCCTGGGCAACATAGTAAGAACCTCTCTCTCTCTCTCTCTAAGTATATATATATATACACACACACACATATATATATATATACACACACATATATATGTAAAGAAACAGTGACAATAGAGTATTCATTTTCATAAGAGTTCTCATGAGTAGAAGGAGAAAAAGGATTATATCTAGATGGAGGAATGCAAGGTCAAATATTTTTCTTGTTTTTAAAGTATGCAGTAGTCTTGAAAATGTTTCTGTGCTAAAGGAAATGAACCAAAGTAATGGCAGTGGGAAAGAGATAGAAGATAAAAGTGAGACAGGAGATCATTGATAGGAACAGGTCTCAGGGGACTGGTCTAAAACACTAAATAAGGAGTTAGTCTGGTAAAGGCTGGTTAGGCTGGCCAGGAAGAGAATTAACTCATCCTCTGTGACTTAAATATCTATTTCCTGTTATAATTTAACCTTACTATACAGGATGACATTCCCATTCTTTACTCCAGGAGAACTTATAAAGTGTATCCAATGTGCAGTTTTATCAATTTGTCTTGCATAGATAAAAATTTATATTTATATACAGTATAACTTATATTTGGATATTACAGTATGTCATGTAATTTAGTTAAGACTAATCTGTTGCCCTGACTACTATAGAGATTAGCAAAAACCTTTCTTCAGAAAGGATAATGTGTCTTCTGTGTCTTTTAAAATTCTTTCTTCTTTTTACAGCTGTTAAGCACATAGTGGGCCCTCAATAAAATGACACCTAACATAGGATTTGGAAGATGTGTGAATTACAAAGATATAGCCCAAAATATAAAATGTACTCATTCAGAGTTTAAATTCTTTGAACTTATTAACTCTAAAAATTAATACCAGTTTTTAATAGGTGCCTTTTACCATACCAGAATTCAACTTGTCACTAAGCATAACAGTGTTTTTTTCTTTTTTCTTTTCTATTTTATTTCTTTTCACATCAGACAGTTAATGTGCTGATATTGAAACAAGGTTTAAAGGAGGCACATCTCACACAAAGCATGAAAACCCAGTCATCATGCTTATGAACCACAAAAGGATTCCTAGGCATAAGAATATGGTTTGGCCATTAAGAAAAAAATTGGACTGGGCATGGTGGCTCATGCCTTTAATAACAGCAGTTTGAGAGGCTGAGGTGAGAGGATCGCTTGAGCTCAGGAGTTCAAAACCAGCCTGAGTAACATAGTGACACCCTGTGTCTACAAAAAAATTTTTGAAAGGAAAAAAATTGTCTTTGACGATAACTTGGTAGACTTCCAGCTGGGAGCATCTTTATTTTATTTTATTTTATTTTATTTTATTTTATTTGTATTTATTTATTTATTTATTTATTTATTTATTTATTTATTATTTTTGAGATGGAGTTTTGCTCTGTTGCCCAGGCTAGAGTGCAGTGGTGTGATCTCAGCTCACTGCAACCTCCACCTTGCGGGTTCAAGCGATCCTCCTGCCTGAGTCTCCTGAGTAGCTGGGATTAGAGGTGCCCGCCACTGCGCCCAGCTAATTTTTGTAGTTTTAGTAGAGACGAGGTTTCACCATTTTGACCAGGCTGGTCTCAAACTCCTGACCTTGTGATCCACCTGCCTCGGCCTCCCAAAGTGCTGGGATTACAGGAGTGAGCCACTGCGCCTGGCCAGCATCTTTATTTAAAAGCATGTATTGTGAAGCTCCATGTGAGAATAGAATGCTACCTTGAGTATATAGTGAGGGGCAGGGAAAAGTCCAGGCTACTGTCTTAAGGCCAGTTATAAATCCTTGATGATTTCAAATTTGTTGGATTCTTTTGATGGTGATGATAGTGGGAGAAAGAAATGTGCACATCAAAAGGGATTTACTAGAGAAAAAGCTGTGAACTTTTGAAAGGTTTTTGATAAGTGTGCCAAATTGCTTTCTAGAAAAGTTGTATTAGTTTACACTTCCATCAGTAATAGCAGTGAGTATGCTCCAGACATCATTTTCCAAATATCAAAAATTACATTCTCATTTTAGAAGAAGTTAAGACTGGCATTGTATAATAGGACAGCTATGTATCAACCTTTGTATATCCCTGAAGCTTTCGGCCATTGAGTTCTGTAACCAAATGACTTCCTGTACATCTTAAGAAGCAAATAATGCAGTTTTTTCCTCAATTGAAATGTTTGGAGATGTTTGTTTGTTTGTTTTTCTCATTGAAGCCTGTAAAGTTTGAGTTCATTTTAAAGTTTTGGGGAAATTTTCAAGTTCTGATTTCATCTCCCCAGTGTACTTTTCATAATTATTTCATTTTATTAATAAAGTAGGGCCAGGTATGGTGGTGGGCCAGGTGCAGTGGCTCACACCTGTAATCCCAGCACTGTGGGAGGCTAAGGCGGGCAGATCACGAGGTCAGGAGTTCAAGACCAGCCTGGCCAACATGGTGAAACCCCCATCTCTACTAAAAATACAAAAATTACGTGGGTGCGGTGGCAGGCGCCTATAATCCTAGCTACTCGAGAGGCTGAGGCAGGAGAATTGCTTGAACCTGGGAGGCAGAGGTTGCAGTGAGCCAAGATTGTGCCACTGCACTCCAGCCTGGGTGACAGAGCAAGACTCTGTCTTAGGAAAAACAAAGAGAGAAAGAAAGAGAGAGAGAGAGAAAAAGAAAGAAAGAAAAGAAAAAGCAAGAGAGAGAGAGAAAAAGAAAGAGGAAGAAAAAGGAAGGGAGGGAGGGAGGGAGGAAGGAAAGAAGGAAGGAAGGAAGGAAGGAAGGAAGGAAGGAAGGAAGGAAGGAAGGAAGGAAGGAAGGAAGAAAGGAAGGAAGGAAGGAAGGAAGGAAAATAGGCACTACAGATTGTTCACAATTCCCTAACTGCATTTAATATAAGGATTTTTATTTCTCCTTTTCACTGAAAAACTATCCTACTATTCTTTGGTGGCCAACTGATCACAAACTTATTTTATAGCTACTATTCAGTTTGGGAAATCTTCAATACGTCACATGTACAGATGCTGGCAGTGTATCAAATTCTAGTTTCTAATCTTTAGTTCTTTAAAAAGTCTTTAGTCACTTTGTTATTCTTACATTTCATTTGTGATAATTGGTTAACATGTTTGTATTTGAAGGCATTAATCACAATTTAGAATATATAATGGGCACATAGATACTACTCCGTATCTTTTAGATTTCCTTATACTTATGAAAGATGTTATTCAGAATTCAATATGTTCATTTTAGTTTGATATAAATATTTTTCTGGAAAGAAAGAATGGAGCCATAAATGAATTGTTATGGGATATACTGTTTGGTCCTTTGGGCTCAAGGCTTAATATTAATAAAAAGACCCCGGAACTGAGCCAGGAATCCCCCAATTAGGTCTAGCCCTAATTGGCTTTGTAACCATGAGCAAATTCATTTATCTTTGTATCTTTATAAAATGTCCTACACAAAAAATGTTATTTTTATGAAAGTATTACTCAAATATGAGGTAGTGTTCTTAGGGAGAAGAAAAAACCTTTGCCTTTGAGAATTGGGATGGAAGGGAAGTAAGTTTCTTAACTAATTCAGCCTGTACTATTGGAGAAGGCAGCACAGTGTAAAGCAAGAGTCAGAATTCATTTGCTTGCCAAAGCCAGGCGGGGAGCATGAATATATGAATTGGGCCTATATAAGACTTAGGGAATTGTTGGAGTCTCTGTATATCTCTTGTCTAAAAATCAGATTAATTAAAAATACATACCATGAAAGTTATACAGAACAGTTCTACAGGGAGTATTCTTCCTGTAAGCTTCCAGTTTTCAACCTCTGGTTTAAAGAAGAAATGGGCCCGGTGTGTTGGCTCATGCCTGTAATCCCAGGCCGAGGCAGTTGAGTTGCTGGAGTGCAGGATTTCGAGACCAGCCTAGGCAACATAGCTTGAGACCAGCATCGGCAACATATTTCATCTCTACAAAAAGTAGAAAAATTAGCTGGGCGTGGTGGTGCGTGCCTATAGCCCTAGCTACACGACAGACTGAGGTGAATCACTTGAGCCTGGAGGGTCTAGCCTGCAGTGAGCTGTGATTGTGTCACTGCACTCTATCCTGTATACTGTTCAGCAGAGTACCCAACATGTAGTAGGCACTCAATGATGTTTGATGGCCAGCTAGCTAAATGGATAATGGATGGATGGATGGATGGATGGATGGATGGATGGATAATCGAATGAATGACTAGAAGGCTCTTCATCCTAGCAGCATGTGTATATAGTATATGGAGTTGTCTTTGCAATTGGTTTGCTCTTATTTTTGAGTCTTATGAGCTCTGTCGCCTAGGCTGGAGTGCAGTGGCGCAATCTCGGCTCACTGCAAGCTCCGCCTCCCGGGTTCACGCCATTCTCCTGCCTCAGCCTCCCGAGTAGCTGGGACTACAGGTGCCCGCCCCTGCGCCCGGCTAATTTTTTCTATTTTTAGTAGAGACGGGGTTTCACCATGGTCTCGATCTCCTGACCTTGTGATCCGCCCACCTCGGCCTCCCAAAGTGCTGGGATTACAGGCGTGAGCCACCACGCCCGGCCAAGCAAAATATTTTATAACAAATTTTTGAAAACATCTTTTATCTTTTTAACATTCTAGTCTCTTACATCTTTAGGTGTCAAAATTTAGTATGCCCAACATTAAATTTGTGGCAATGCTTTCCCCAGCTTAATTTTCATGAGCTTTGACTGGGATTTGGAAACATTGCATCTTGTTTTGATGATTTTCTGACCGACTGGAAGCCTCAAATGGATGTCACATGCTGTTAGAGCAGACTTCGCAAAGAAAAAGACAGTTGATCTTCTTTGTTTCAGGTGGTCTGTTCTCTCTCAGGTTAGGTTTTGTTTGATTTGGGGAGTATTTATTAACTTTAGGGAAGAGTTGTATTTTCTTTCTAATATCCATTTGTTCACAATAACACCTAGTAGGCATTCAGTTCATATTGGAATGAATGAGAAAATGAGCAGCACATCAATTGTAACAAATGTACCACTTTGATAGGAGATGTTGATAATGGGTGAGGCTATATGCATGTGTGGAGGCAGGGGCTGTATAGGAAATCTGTCCACCTTCTGTTCAATTTTGCTGTGAACCTAAAACTTCTCTAAAAAATAAAGTTTATTTAAAAAAAAAAACAAAACAACAGAAAGCACTGTAGAGAAGTGGAAACAGCATGAGCCTCTGAATAAGAAAAACCTGTTTAAATACTGATTCTGCCTCTTATACTTATCACTCATCTTGGATAGATAACATGGCTGAGTCCGTGTATATCTGTAATATGGAAATGATAATACTTAAACTATATTACGGATTTTCAGTATTCTTAGTTTAAAATAGGTCAACATTCTGATTTTTTGTTTGGAAAATATGGTCATGATATTTCAGCTCTTGGACTTTTTACCATGGAATTTTAAAACCATATACTTCTGGACACATTTTAAAAAATAAAATGTACAGAAAAGAGATGTGGGGGGAAGTCATATAATTTAGCCACCAATTTGTGCAGTTTGTATAATTGTGACAAATAACACAATGCTGTATTTGTTAAGTTTTCCTGTGATTGACTTCAGAATATCAATGAATCTTGAACCAGACTTTTTCTGTTATTCACTTGCTGCTTTGAGCTTGTTTCTCTGCCTATCCATTTTTTATATAGCTCAGAAAATTAAACAATTGAGATCTTGAGTTTTGTATTATACCATTAATTTGCTTATTACAATCATAGCATAGTATATTTAGTAGGACACAGCTGGATTTTCTTTTTGTTGCATATGCCTTATGGTAATACTATGACTAGTAACTCATTATTTAATATGGAATATCTACAATAGTGGAAATCTAGAAGAAATATGAGTGCTGAATAAGGTAATAAGGGAGATTTGTAGTCTATACTTATTTCATCTTTGCTTCCATCTATTTCTCCAATTGTTTTTTTAAAATCTTCATCCATTGATTGATTTATTCTAAACATATATTTTGAACATCAACTATATGTCACACACTGTGCTAGGCAATAAGTATGCACTGATGAATAAACCAGGCATAATTTCCTCATGAAGCTTGCTTTATCT